TTACTTTTGATACGGCGTGTCCGGACAGGCTATAGAGAGGCCAAACAAGAGACAGGACATTTGAAAGAATCTGTTGTTTGTTTGTGAGTGAGTATGGTTTTACGCCGCTTTTAGCAATATTCTAGCGGGGGACACCAGAAATGGGCTTCACACACTGTACACATCTGGGGAATCGAACCCTTTAATCACAAGGCTACCCCACCGCCCCTGTTGTTTGTACCTACGATTACTTTATTCTAGTTCGACTTGTCGCGGTTGATACTATTTGGGATAAAACAAAGGCAAGTTATATACATCCTCAGAGTGCTGACCTTGGTATCTCAGAGCTGCTCTGCAGAGTGTGGGGTGCTGTGCCGACAATTAGTTCGCCACGTAGACAAATACCTGCATAGCGATGAAACAGGCATGCAAAAGCCGTGCATATATCACGTTCTGACACAATACAGGCAGGTTGTTACTCCGACCGCCTCGACCTCCACTACAGTATTAAAACTACAAATCATATCACTTCCTTTCGACGATAGACATCAGGTACAAAGTTGTAGATTGTACCATTATACGTAAATCCCTCCTAAGCGCCACTCCACCCCGCCCCAAATACATCTTTCACGCCTTCGAGTCTTTCGTAAGAGTTCTTTTCTTTTTATCATTCCCGCCTCTAATTAATCCTTTACTCAGCAGAAAGGAGGTCTTTAGAGTCATTTGAGTTGTTCATTAAAAATACCAATGTTTCATGAGTTTCCATCGTAATTAGTAACAACAAAAACCAAAGTTTCACAATTTGATTAATACGTTTTCATCAGTGAACGGTTTTTCAGATTCATTCTGAGCAACTCTTTAACTATCTCCTGAAATCTCAAGCTGATATAAACCAGCTGAAATACCAGGTACAGAGACGGAACAGCTGCTTTATTTCCCTCTGGAAAACAATATTGGGTTAACCTCAACACGCTGGGCGTTGCTCCCTCAGCAAATAGTTAAAACGGCATCAGTTTCAAAAACATACACCTGTCCTGTGTTTACAGGTAAACCTGAATGAAAGCCGAAAACGTCTCCAATTACAGATTTATAGTTGAAAAGACACTGAAGGAAGCCCGTGGTAACATGATGTTTTTGCAGTTTGGCCAGATGGTTTTTATCCTGCATATGTTAATCTTAACTTTCCTTTGCTATCGGGCAATTTGTGAGTTATTTTCAGGCTTTGAAAAACACTGGAAGGTGATAAATTACAAACGCACATCTATGTGCCTGGAACTAAAAACACCGCTTTAACCGTGCGCTTCACCATTCGACAACCTTTCTTTTTGTCTGTGTCTTTGGTAGAATTATAGATCCTTTATACATATATATTTATGCATTTGTATACAATATTGACATTATCGATGCCACATCTTTGCTTAGGTTTGAGGCAGTGAAGGAAATACCTGCATCTTCATTGAATTTCTCTTATACTTGTGATTCTTTCCTAATAAATCAATTCCGTGCTCAACTTGGTACCAAGTTGAAAAATATGATATGATCTTTGGCAGACGCAGTGATCCATGTGGTCCTTTATACCAAACGGAATCTGTATTCTGAGTATAGGCAAGACTGGGTATTCTTTGACAATGATGTCTTAGATTTACGTACATCATCATGAGGTGCCTTGCGCTGGAAATTTATTGCAATTCGCTACCGAGTGAGCAACGTAAAGGTTACATCACATGTGTCACGTAATGGGTTACGTATGAATGACATTAGTTTACCATTAATATTGCGGCTAAAGCACCAGATAATGGGGAATAGAGTGTGAAAGAGCCTCTGTGTTATTTAGATCCTAAACACCCGTTTTATCCATGTGTAAAATGCATTATGAACTTGAAATGACTTACTATTCAGATGGCCATGAGCTTCTACAAAATGCGTCGCAAATCTAGAGCTAGACAAATGTACTGTTCATTTAGTCATTGTCATCTGCTATTGTACTGCGAGACGTAACTTATTCATTTACGAGACAAGTATAACGTAACATGGAATCATATATAACGAGAATGTTCACCGACCGAGATTTTGTTTTGAAATAATGTTGGCCTCCATGGGTTGGTCTGTTGACAAATTATGGACATGAAGGAGTATATACCCAGTCCCTCATCTTCATCTGACAACAACGGCGTACATGTCTAAATCAACAGCATACACGTGGTAGCAACGTATGCACGCACATAAATGTATTCTATGCATTTTGGATTCACGGATGACAAATATACAGTCTTTTGAAGCTAGGCCTGGGCAACATTGTCTCTTATACAGGATGTGTCATTGCCATATAATCGTGGGTTCCATTCTCAGATTCGTTCTGTTAATGTATCTATGTTTTTCAGCACCACACTCTCGCTTAAGAGTCTCACCAAAGTCACGGAGATTTCCTCAGGCTTCAAGATGAAAAAGAGTGACAGAATTGAAATACTATTCAAATCTTACTTCACATTCACTTCCTTATATCTATGAAGCACAAAGTAAACGTCTTGAAGGCGTTGTGTCATATCCGATGAAATCCAATCCGTGTTCGAGGAAGAAGACACCATGTGCACCATCGAAGGCGTTAATTGTCTTGGTCTAGATGCGTCACCATGTGCAGACAGTCATTACGTTTCTTCATAAAATCTTCATTGTACCATTTGTCCACAGTTACCAGTTTTGAAACACACAACATGGGAAATGTATATGGCGTTATGAGGCTGATCCATTAGTTAGTGTTCCAGTGATGAAAGCATTGAGTAGTCATCTTATGCACAAGCCAGAAGCATGATTTATGTAAATGTAACATCACTATATGTTAACAGTGCAGATGTCAGTGACCATTGAACACACTCAGAACAAAACACCATTTGCCTTACGGTGTATGCTGTGGAGAAGTTTACCAAAACTTTGTAATGAAGATGGTTATCAAGGATAATGCAATATTTTTTATTTATCTTCCACCGGATATTAAAGTTGAAACCATAGCCGCTCAAATCAAAGAAATAGAAAACTAATAACAGTGTACATGTGCGTCATTGGTACGCATTTAGCTACTAAATTTGAGCAAGTCTGCAATTAATTTTTTCAAGCACTCGAAAAAATACATACCGTATCAACGTGCTTAATTTTATATTAAGCGCACAATAATGCCAGTGTCTTTGAACTGGAAACCTGTATGGGATCTGTAGCTCTGATTACGTCAAACTGTATAGCTGTATTGATTTCCGCTATAGGGAAACAATCATCGTTTCTTTAAAGTTTTATCCGCCTATCCTGCTGCGGTAACCACTTACGTCTGTTCATACGATATAAAAACTTTTACCATTACGTCCGTCGAGTTTATGCAAACTTGCCAGGAAATCTCAAACAATCAAGGATCATTGTGATACACTTAGTCATTTTTTGCAAACAGCTTGTCAATGCATTGCCAGTAGGACTCCTGTGTAGAATTTACATCAAGTCTTGTTGCGGATTTACAAGGCATGGTATTAGTAGCTTGTCGTTTATCATTTTTAGACTGGCTTAATTGATCGGTTATTGATTTCTGTTTTCCTTAGCGTATTTTGATCTTTTTCGTAGGGAAGGAAAACTGATAAATCACAATAAGTGTGTACCATGTTAAGGTTGCCGTGATCGTTGAATCCGGTAGTGATTGTCGAAGATAACCCTACTCCCTTGTAGCAAAATGCCATCGGTGTAGTCTGTGGTGTTCGAGTGCCAGAGTGTTTGAAGTTTGAGGGCTACTTTATCGCCGTATATCAAGATGATAAATCGCATTACGGGAGCAGGAGACAACATCCATCAACTATTCGTACAACCCCGTCCGTCGATTATTTCCGTGCTTCCTCATGGATGATACATACAACGAACTTTTGTTGGATAATTTACACATTGTTGCAAGTGCTATTCGGAATCCTGACTAATGAGTATTATGATTCACTCAAATGAGTCTTATTTCCAAACAAGTCATGTGGTGATTCGTACATTTGCCATGCTGAGAACGATGGATTAGGTCACTGAAACGCAACGTTTCAAAGAAACATTGATTCATTGAAGTGTTCGTTAAAATATCGATCGCCCAGTATCTTCACTGTAATGGTCATTAGTGTCTGAATACATTTCAAACAGCGATTCTTTGTCAATTCTGGTCGATTCAATCAAAGTTGGTGCTTTCAATTTTCATCTATTCACCGTTTGTCTTACTCGGACACTTGGGGAACCTCTGTTTCAAAGATTAACCTACATTGCCTTTAACCATGTAGTGGACTGAATACACTCTGATTCAAACGAATCTTGGTTACATATATCCTTGATTTCTTTGATGAGAATATTACTTCTGGCCCTTGATGATATTGCAAGACAGAGCGTTCTACCTCTGCGACTTATTACTGTAATAATAGTTCCGTCATATGGGCATACGTTATTCACGATAAGCCTATGTTACAAGAAGTGGGCCTGATAATTTGTATATCTGATGCGAAACATTTTGTACCTATCACTTGATAAGCTGGGATATCTGTCGAATAAAATATTTAAAATTGGGATCCATCACCGAGACAGTGGGGGTTGTTTGTTCGATCCCATGGATGTTAAGATGTTAAAAGATTGTACGTGTTCCTACCTTGAATCTCGGCACTTTGGCAACAAACAAGGACTGTTTCGTTCTGGATATATTCAGAGCCTCGGCAACGAGCGGGCGCAAGATATCGTTGCGACTTAGGACTTGATTCTGACTTCTGACCGCGTTTAGTCATATGTTTCAGTCGGTTATCAATGTAAAACTGGGAGCACCAGGGAGTTTGTTTTATTAATTCGACGAATTCAACACAAGTGCCAACAGCCACATATTCACATCTATGTCGCCGCCCAGTTTTACCTCACTTTACCTTGCAGCAAATATGTAAAAATTCCTCGTGCCCTCACTGTATGCCATAACAATTTCTTCTTTCCTAATCCATGCTGACAGCTTTCATTAAAGTACAACATTATGTCTTCTTCAGGTGTCCTGAGATCAAGGGGCAGATAACCCCAATGTCAGGATGAGCGAGGACCCCACTTCCGCAGACAACGATGAGGCGATGGACGGCGTAAACGCTTCATATTTATATCTGCTCCAGCACGAAGTCAACATGGCCGCCATGACGACCCGAGTACTACGTGACAACGGAAGTGCAGATCCCGGAAGTGACAACATTACCCAACTCATCATGACAACGATGGGAACACCGCCAACATTTGACGATGTCAGCATGACAAAGACAATTGTTTTTGGGGCCATGTTTGTCATGTCCCTCGTCGGAAATGTGGCCACATTGATTCAGATGTACCGAATGAGACGACGAAAATCAACAATTAACACATTAATAGTGAACCTTGCGATTGCGGATTTATTTGTGACGTTCTTCTGTATCGCTGGTGAGGCTGTTTGGGCAGCAACTGTACAATGGTATGCAGGTAATGTGATGTGCAAGTTTGTTAAATACATGCAGGTGTTTGGGCTCTATCTCTCCACCTACATAACTGTTGCCATAGGCCTTGACAGGTGTGTGGCCATCTTGGATCCCATGAGAAGGAACGGGGCGACCGTCAGAGTAAGGGTGATGATTCTCCTAGCATGGATGTTCAGTGCCTTATTCAGCGTGCCTCAGGTAAGAGTATACTGAATGACGGAATGTTATTGTACCCACAGATATTATCACTGTTACATTTTATGAAACAATGGATATATTTTATTTTATATGGATATATTTTTTTTAAAGAAAAAAATGTCCCAGAAAATGCTTCAAAAGAAAAATATTCCTTAGACTGTTGTGTGTGTGTGTGTGTTTTGTTTTTGTGTGTGTACGTGTGCGTATGTGTTGGTTTTTCTGGATTTTTGCACTACTCCAACATACACCTCAATTTGAATTTCGGTAGAAAAGACTGATTGTGTCTGTTGACTCAACCTAAGCTGTATTCATATTGTGTATTCATAATTCATTATAAGTGCTTTAAAACGCATGTTGTTAATGTTTCAAAATATGCAGTGAATATGTGTAGTTGCCCACCATTTGCACGGATTAGACGTTTGTCGATCTCTCTCTAAATCAACACAATAACCTTTTGAGAATGACCTGTCAACTATATAGAGCGTTGAACAAGAAAGGACAGTATGTTAAGTGACAATAAAATTGTTGATTACTAACATCCATAGTATCTCAGCATACCACACAAACAGACACCTGGTCACTTAATCATGAGTGAAACTAGAATCCACATTTTACTCCGGATGTTCAGTCATTCCACAATTCCTTTGAAAGCCTCTTATAGGTAAGGGTAAATATGTGAACAGTTGATTGAAACATACTTGGTTTAAACCAGTAACACGTACTTACATATTGCCTTATGGCTACAAATTGTTTTGTATTAGAATGTATTAAAAACAATAAAAACGTTGAGTTAGATATAATCATGTCACTTCAATATTCAATGCGTCATGTATGAAAAAAGAATAAACCAGTTCTGCACTGTCTGCAGAGAGTACGTCAGTGCCGCTTTTATCAACGTAAACATGTTATCTAATGACAGCGTCAGCGCTAAAACCTAGCTGTAAACAGTGTAACAATGTTTCTTATTAAATTATCAATGCAACGACAAGGCACGGAAAGGGATGCTTCATTTTATCAACACACCTGGCTTAAAAGTGTTGCCTAATCACTACATTTCCTTCATGTAAACCATTCTCTACAGTATATAATAGCTGTCTGAAGGCAGTTAGGGACTAGGTCACCTTGAGGAATAGTTTGCACGCGCATGTGACAACCTACTCGGATAAACAGGAACATCAAACCCTAGTGCGCCGATGGCAGTGCTCTCTGAGACTCAATCACATTTTCTAACCGCGAAATTACCCGTCTCTGTTGTAGGTTTTCCCTGCCAATAACACGCCAGAAACATCTTGTTTGTGCTTTAGCCCGCTGCGCTGGTGGCATTCAGCTCTCTGGAAGCCAACACGTTTGCTTAAACTTGATGAAGACATTTGTAGTTTCGACACTTCTGGCACTGCAACTATTGCCTTGCATTGTACATTACAGATACGGTTGGTAAATGTTTAAATGAAGGTTGTTCATCTAACGGCAGAAAGAGACTATTTGTAGCAGGCGTTTCTAGTTTCTACAAACAAGAAAAAGTTAGGAAAGCAGTGGCTTTAGTTCATGCCTGAAGTTAACATGAACCAGCGATGTTCGGAAGTTGACAAATAAAGACGAAAACATTTCAATTGCATGTCTGAAATCTATGATTTTTAACATCCAAAATTCTTTGCCAGAATCCATATTCTACAGTGAATTCGAAAATTATTAGAATCTGACAGGTCAGTAAGTGGTCAATCCCAAGAACCCCTCTGAGAACAGCCTATTTGACGGCTGCAGCAGCGCAGAAGCGGATAATTTTTTGGTTAATACACGGTATCATTTGTTTATGGTGTAATGGCCAAAAGTATGATTTTCAATTTTTTCGTATTGTCTCATACGTCGTTATCTGATACTCTTATTTCATTTTGGCATCAGAATTATAATTCCAAATTCGTTTCCTTCCATCAACTTTATTTTGTTATCTTTTATAAAGTTTATGTCAAAGGGAGGTAAATGTCAAATGGTTGGAATAGTTTATAGATATATCTAACGGAATTTTGTATGTGCCCTCTGTGCAAAGGGAAACTATTTGTAGCGAAACTTTGATCGACCTTAGAATGCAGGGCGCCACGATTTTATTAATGGTTTCATCTGAGTTAATTGTAATTGCTAATGCATGCTTCCTTTAAAATTCCCAAATGGTTTAACAGCAGCCCCCAGAATTGAATAAGAGGTTGGAAGAATAGCATGATAAGTGTAGTTAAATCCAACAATGTAATTCATTAGACACAAAATGAATACCATAATATACATAGGATTTAGCACCGCCGAGAACCTAGCACTGCATTACAAGACGCCAGGCTTGATGAATAGGGTATTTTAGGGGTCTATTTTCATTACTCAAATGCGGATGCAGGAGCTTTATTCCATGATGTAGGACATAGGTGTAGTTAAAACCTATTCAGAGCTTTGGGTTCTCGAACCATACATGATGGTTGTGTCCGGACAAATGGTATTCCAGGACCATACATATTTTGACACAGTGTTGAGACTACTTGCTCCTTAACTCTTTGGCATATGATTGAATCTATTTCGAAACTGTGAATAGAACTTTAAATATATCCCACAACTGTCATTGACTGGTTGCTCAGCGGTTTACAAGAACGTTGATAAACTGCGATGTTCAATTGTGAACACCCCAAGGGAGGATCCGGGTTAGACTTGGTCTTCAGCAACCAATACTTTTCGTAAGAGGCGACTAACGGGATCGACTGGTGAGGCAAACTGACTTGGTTGATGCATGCAGTGGTATCCCAGGGCATAGGTCGATACTCATGATGTCAATCACTGGACAGTTAATTTATCTGTTTGCAGAATAGCAGACGTTTCTTTGCCTGTAACAGTTACAACGTCCATTGAGTGTCTTTAATGCCAAGACGTGTGCAGACGCATTTGCCCCACTTTCTGAACATGGCACTAAGCTAGGCTGTAAAACTGTTGCCTAAAAGCATTGGCTTAATGTACATGAAGAATACTATGTCCGTTGAAGTTGTTAAGTGATGAGGAAGGATAATTATACGAAGTGTCTTGTCTCATTGATACACACGGTTTGATATAGTATTTTTATAGTACAAGTAATCCCTCTGATAGATAGTAGCATATTTCTCATTAAGTAAAGATGGCACGGATTTGTTTCTGAAACAAATAATCGTCACTACACATGCCTTTATCATGTTTATCAACACATCGTCAATTTGAAATTACAAACAAAAATCTCAAGATAACTGTAAATGATATCACTGTTTTTCCTCAATGAGTATATATTGACGGGAAATCGTCTAATTTTAATTATAATATAAGGATGTTCTTAAGAAGTCCTGTCAAAGTGAGATGACTTCGTGAAATAAAGAAATCAATTCTTGTTAAGAAATCTCATTAAATGCGCATTTTCACGAATGCCATTTTGGAAAACAGTGTTCTTATAGGTTCTTCGACTACATTTTGAAACACCACAAAACGGTAACAAACTCATGCAGAGAAAAAGTACGCGTTTCATTTTTTGGTTGAAGGGTTAATTAAAATCTAATTTTGTTCAAGATAAAATATTAAGGTCTCTAGCTGCAGTCTTTGGAATGCAAATCGAAATCCTGATGAGGTAGCAACCACATCAAGAATAACTGATATTCCTGTTCTTTTAATGATATTGCAAGAGTTAAATTTGCACGATGATCTGTTTGCATCAGTTAATTTGCATTTGCCATTTGTATTAGTTAATATAAATCAGAAGTTGAAGTTAATTTAACGTCACATTGTAACCCAACTTTCTATTTAACTTTTTCACTCACGTGTAGTAACTTTAGTGACTAACTGTGAATCGAGTGCCAAGGGATATTTAACTAGCCATTGCTTTTACTCTGTGTCGGTTTACTGTTTGATCCTCAAAACAGGACAAAAAATAATGCATTGGTCCCATCGGACGCAACTGATAAAATTCGTTGTCAGTACTTGTTATTGGAAAATGTGGGTGTTATTTATATACTGTGAATATAAGCATATATATCATAGAAGACAGTTATCGACTTGTTATCATCTTTCCTTTATGGCAAAGGTCAGAACAATTGGATCAATGTTTTTGACTGATAGTTTTGTTCGTTATTTAATCATAAACCGTGAAGACAAGGGTCTCCATCAACCCGTGTTTGTCGTGAGAGGAGACTGACGGGACTGACTGACGGGACCTGGTTGATGCAGGTAATCGTATCTCAATTCGTATAACGATGCTCATGGTAGCAATCACTGGATTATCTGGTGCATCCCTGATGATTTACGGACTGCTGTTATACAGCTCAAATATTGAGAATTGCGGCAAACAAACCATGAATACTCAGCGCCATTTAGAAAGTAGTCAAATATAACACACGGTACATATGGCATTAGTAAATCTACGTAAAGTATAGATACTAGTATTTTTGTTGGGTTGAGTTCCATTCGGGATTCGAACCCACACTATCAGAGCCAGGCTCCTAATGGCCAGCCGTCTCAACCCACTCAGCCAACGCGGCTTCCACAAAAGTCGGACAACTAGTAGTCTTGTCCACGGACTTTTACGTTCAATCCAGTCACAAGAATATGACTTTTGGCGGTGGTATCTGTCGTGTTGTTTGACAACAGTGGTTAGCATTTGAAGAGAATGCGTCCCACACTTTAGAACCACATGATGTTTTCCTCTATGGTATACAGTTGACGGTGGAACCATGTATAGATTCGTAAATGTAACATTGATATTGATACATTCACCGGCTATATGATGTACACTTTTCACTTCACTGCAACTGTGGTTTTATTGGATTTGAAATGGCTCTTCCGTTGCGTGTTTGCAGACTAAAGTATAGGCCCTGTCAATCTATTTCACGTTGTTCGCGACATCGAGTCGGCCCGAGGACCTCCTCAGCCCCCGGGGGTAACTTGTCATAATGTGGAGCTCGTATAGGTTACACTCACGGGACAATAAATCGAAAGCGGTGTTTACGAAAAAC